CAAGTTAGGTAACGTGGCAATTTGTATAAGAAACCAACCTAGAAAGAAAAAGACCTTGTTTTTGGAGAACGTGGTGTTGAGGGAGTATGTGGGCGATCTGAAATGTCTTCTGGTTTGCAAGGACAGGGAGCAAATTAAAAAGGAAAAACAAACAATTTAACAGTGATGGAGCTGTAGCTTCAGCAAGGATAGACTGTGGGCGTGCATCCATTTTATCTCGCTGTAGAAGATTATTCCTCAACACACAAGGTCACAGAATCTCACACTTCTGAGTATTAGAAGATAATCTTGCTGAAAGTTTAAAATGTATCACCAGCAGCAAATATTTAAGGCCTTCATTTACAGCAATCGGGGGACTATGTGAATACCTGCCTTAGCTTGCAAATAAACACTAAATTGTCAGCTCAAATAAAAACAGAATGGTAAAACATGCCAAGTGGAAATCAACAATCAAGTGCTAATTATTACAGGCTATGTAGATACTAATTACTCAGTTACTTACGTGGTTTTTCTACTGACCTTTTTTGCTTGGCATTTTGTAATTGGTGACAAGTGATTAGAGGCATTCCTTATCAGACTTCTGATTTTGGCTTCTGGCATTGCAATCCTGGTCAGAAAAGATTTAATATAAGAGTGATAGGAGCAAGAAATGAAGGGGAACTAATGGTCCACTCCCTTCTGTGCTAGCATAGACTGTTAACTTCAGCTTGCTCCTTCATGCAAAGAATCACTCATATATGACATTGAACAATATCCTTTCTGCTGTGCCCTTCAGCTGGCTCAGCTTTCTGGCCAGGTGCAGCTGCACAAGTTACCAAGTGGAGACTGGAAAAGAAATACAGAAAGTGATGGGAACTTCTGATGGTTCTGCAAAGCCTCAGCGTTTCAGAAGCTTGGTTTGAGTCTGGGACAGAGCTGGGACAGATGCGTGCTGGTGGCAGTGTGGGTTTCTCATGCCCTGGGGAGACACATCAGGACACAGCCTTAGGCTTGGCTCTTGAACAGCCTTATAGATGCATGTAGGATCTTGCCATCTCATCCAGAATTAAAACTACAAACCTGTAGCTTACATGATGGTGAATAAAAATATGGTTGTTAGCAAGGAGTTGGTACAACCCACCCCCTTCTGTTGCTTGGAAAAGAAGAAGCAGAAGACTGCGAAGGAGAAGCTACATAACTTGGTAATGAGATATCACGTGCATAACACTGGCTGTATCTACAGTGATTTTTCCCTTTGTCATCAAAGCCTGACACGTTCTGTTAGATAACCTTTGGTAAGTGGCTGGATTGATGCACTGTACACAAATGAGCACGGGATCTCCTAATCAGCAATTTGGAGAGATGTGAGCATCTTTCAGACGACGCAGAACAACTGCACACATTTCATTACTTTGCATTTAAAGTGGAAAGGAGGGTGATGGTCACGTCCTCCGCTGTCAGTGCAGTCTCCTGGAGTTATCCTTGGCTTTTTTAGCAATATATGAGCTATTCACCTGTATTTCCACGTGGAAAAATACCTTTGAAAGAGCATCTTTACATGCATGTGCCTGTTCCCTGTGTCCGGTCAGAAAACACTGTATTCTGAGCATATTCTGATGGAGCAGGGAGGCCTGTTATAAGTAACAGACAATTTCAAGGGTTATGCAGCTTAGAGGTGCAATTTATGAAGCAGCCGCTGAATCAGAGTGAGATTTCTTCTACAATCTCTGAAGAATTCTGTTGTCTAAAGATTATTATCAATATGCAGTCATGCAGGTCAATGTTCTTTTCATTTGTGAAGCAAGTGGCATCAAATTGCCTTTTAAAGCCTAGAAATCCAATAGAAATATGTGTGCTCTTCTCTACTTGGTGAGACCGAGGTTTTCTGTTACTTAAAAATAACACTTTGCAATGTAAAATTTTCATTTTTTTTCTTATAATAAACTACATGAGATCTCTATTTTGGTGGCATTTGACGTTAAACCAATCAAACCCTGGGAGACCTATGATGGTGATTAGGCTTTTCTATTATTATTATTGTCTTTTTGCACGAGATGCATAGACATAGAGAATGCTCTTGGCTGACTTGCCAACCAGTGTCTAAATGCACAGGAGATATTTACAGGGCAAATGAATACTGGATTTATATTTCAGCTTTGGAAAACTCTCTTCTGTTTAGCTCGTGTCATCAAGCTGTTGTATTGACAGCAATGTCTGAGTTCAGAAGCAAGAGGCAAGATGAGGATTCGGGAGATGCTGAGGAAGGGCTGCATCTTCCATCCACTGCAGCTGGTGGCTGTGGCTGGATGAAGCGTGGCTTCCTTGGTGCTCTCTTTGTTGGCCCTTTTGCTCTCCATCTATTGACATAACTACTGAGATGGTGGTACTTCAGAGTTAATGTCCTCTAGTTTTGAGAGGGCAGCTGAGGCAGAGTAGGGCAGCAGTGGGTCTCGTTGTTGGGTTTGCTTTGCTAAGCAGTTTGTTTTGCTTGCAGATCATGTCTATCTGTTTCCTTGGGGTTGAAGATTAATTTGCTGCTCCAGGTGCAGGGGTAGAGGAAGCAATGTGAGAAATTGCAGTGAACTTCATCTTTCTTCATGAGGCTGGGAGGGCCACTGAAAGCAAGGAAGGGATCAGAAACACTTCATTATTCAATAAACTATATTAATAAGCTCAGAGGCTAGTAGGTTTGCAGTTCTCACATTTTTTAGCTTACAGTGAAGTGGAGAATGTTGTGCTTATAGAAGGAGCAAAAGCTTTGAAAGATACCAAGCTTATATTAGAAAACAGAAGCAGGGAAGCCCTTAAATGGTATTTGGTGGATTTGGGGTAAAGACAGATGTGTAGTCAGAGAGCCTCTGCAGTGCTTAAGTTGAGACTGGAATGAGGCAGAGACTGATGTGAAGTCTCGTAGCTTCCTTCAGTAGTAAATATGGAAGATGTGGAAACAGGACAAGACTGTGCTGCTGGATTGATGGCAGTGCAGAGCAGTGCCTGAGTAGACGAGTTGAGTAAACACCAACCCCCAGCAGAACTGGGACGAAAAAAAAGATGAAAAATCAGCAAACGAGTTGCGTGTTTGAAATGAGCAAGGGAAAATTTTGTTTGGGGATTCAGAGCCTGATGCCTCAGTGACATTCTTGCCATTGACCAGGGTTACTTCTTGCCCGCAGAAATACAACCCTTACTGTGTACTCTTATCTTGCATAAGCATTCTGGGGATGGATGCTCTCAGAATGTCAACATTTGCATAATGTGCTGACGAGCTCCCAGGTGCAAAACACACCTCAGCTTTCTGTGGGATGTCTTCTTTCAGCCATCTCAGTGCCACTGTAAACTTGGAGTGAAATGTAAGGATGTCTGCTGGCAGCAGATGAGATCAGCTCTTCAGGCTTTCATCAGTTCCCCCTGTTGCCAGCTCCCAAAAAAACCCTGTCTTTACCTGAAAAAGCAAATTTGGAGTGTGATTATATAGTATTTCTGTGAAATAAAGATGGAAAATAGAGGCAATGCTGTAAGTGATTTTTTCCTTGAAGTATGTGCTGCTCTTTTACAGAAAATCAGAGTTGTGTAAACCTGAATTTCTTCTTAGGCTTTTAGGAAGCCTTAGCTTTCAGAACAAGTAGAGTGGTGGCTGGGGAGCCACATTAAAAGAGGGTTGTTGCTTTTTTCCTTTGGAGACGATTTCATATCTGCATTCTGAAGTTCCTCTCCAAGCCTTCTGTTGACGAGGGATGCAGAAAAACCTGGAGCTGCTAAATGCAGTTGTTGGTGCACTGCCTTCCATAGTGTCACCTTAGGGAGAGCGCTGTTGTTCCCTTTGGTGCCTGTTTCCATCTGTTCTTCACTTGAATTGCAGCGTGCATTTGAATTGATGGGAAGCAATGGGATGCAATGGCCAGCCCTCCCCTGAGCTGTGGGAGGTCTTATATTTAGCAGAATTGCCTGGGCACCGCTGAATGTTTGCTGGTAATGTAGTTAAAATGCTTTATCATTTCAAGCCTGGGAATCTGGGTTCAGTGCTGCTAGTGAGAATAAAGTACAATTAATTTAATCGGTCTCAAATGCATGACTACAAAGAGCAGCGTTCAGTTTCTTGCAATCACTAAGGGATAAAATACTGTTCTGAATGTAAAGCATCCTGGATTTGCTTATTCCTGGTTTTTGAGTTAATATCATTCTACCAATGGAAAACGTTGTAAGAAATTACTCCTGAAAATATTTCTGTTGTTGGAAGCTAAAAGTTCTGAAGGCTTTGAACATGTAGGTGCTGTTGGTTTGACCTGGTAATTAGAAGTTATAGTGTATGCTTCTTTAATTGGAGTCACCTGTTCTGCTGAAGTTATCAGTATCCAAAGCACTGTGTGGGCATGCAGGAGGTTGGCCCTCCTGCCTGATTGAGCACCTGATGCTCCTACAGAGCTCCTACAGAAGCAAGCAGCAACAGGCAGAGTAGTTGGTACATGTGCTGGGGTTGTGGGGGAAGAGAAAAATGATCTGATCCAGAGTCTCCCACACGAGCACCAAAAAAAGCCCTGGTTCGATTGTGCACGCAGGCGTGACAGGGCTTTAAAAAACAAAACACAAATGCAGTTCTGAAGGTCGTGTGTTTTGTAAGAAACCTTTCTGCTTCGGCACAGTGCCTTATGAGCTGAGGGATTCCTGGGAGCCTAGAGAAAATGGGAGCTTTAAAAGCAAAAACTGGAGAGCTTTTATTGTTCTGAGCAGCAAGGGATAGATTGTTTGGAATCTAAAAATACACCGGTCATTAGGGTTGTCTAATGGTGGTGCTGGGACTCCTTGTAAACGGCTCTGGGATTTGGGTGGATCTACTGATGTGCAGCAGGGATGGGGGAGCAGCTGGGGCTTTCTGCCACCTGTTGAAGATCTGAAGTTTGTTGTGCCTGGGGAAGATGGATTCCAGGTGAGGTGCTGTAGCAGGCTGAAAGCTTATTGGCCCTTAGTGAATTAATCAGAATTAAAGAAACAAGGAGCTGCTGAATCCTCAGTACCAGATTTTGGTGTCTGTAGGAAACGAAGGGCTCCTGGGGAGGAATCCCTGTGTGCTGGGGGGGCTGGTGTGGAGGGTCCACCCCAGAGGGTGCCTAGCCAGCACAGTGCATTGTCTGGAGGTACTGAAGTGATCAAAGATGGCCTGGTTGCAAAATTAGTTAACTTGGATAAGAATGAATTTAATGACTTACAGTATCAGTATAACTAACTTTCCCTGTGTGTTACTTCTTTCAGGTATTGGAACTTTGACTGAAGAATACATATCATGCACTGGAGAAGGTAATAATTCTTTAATTCTAATTACAATTTGCTAATGCTGTTTTTTATGGTCTTGAAGTAATTACATTGAATGTCTTTGCATTGCTTGTGCCTTAGACTAAGCAACGCATCCCTGTGTTTCTCAGTGCATTGACAATGGTTTTTGTTTAAGTGGCTGTTGGAAGACTTCATTTGAGTTCTTTAGGATAGATGCTGCTTTTAGGGAATCTTATATTGAAAGTTTTATGGAAAAGATAAAACAGTTTGCCTTCAGAAAACTGTAAATGTAGTGCTGTAAGAAACATTGTATATGACTTAAAGAAGGAACCACTTACCAAATGGGATTGATGTCTCGAGATGCTTTCTGTTTGGTCTTTGTTTTTTGTTATGAGGTTTTCAAAGTTGGTGTCTAGTTGATCATTGCATGCCCATCTCTGCAGATGAACTATCAAAAGAAAATGCTCACCTCTGAAACTCAAATACCTGAATGGTATCTGAGTTTGAATCAATATTGCTTGTGGAGGTGGTTTTTTCCTTATACCTGAAATGCTCTTGTTCTCTCTAGAATGGCACTGAAGTATTGAACGTGAATACAGGTATGGCAGTTTTACTCTTTAGAGTCCAGCCCTGGTCTGACCATGTTTTCTTTTGTGTTCCTACTGCGTTGCCTTTGCTCCTCAATGTTGGGCTTTCATGTGTTTGATCTCTGCAGATAAATTTCTGCTGAAGTAGAAGATACTTCTGAAGATGCACTACATTGTTGTCTTCAAAAAAAAGCAAAACCCAGCCAGAGTTCACAATAAATTATATTCTTTTTCTTCTCAGTTGTACATGTTTTTGCTCTGTCTGCTGGGAGACGTCATAAATACCTTATCAATTAATTTCTTAATTATTTTTCTTGGAGTGATTGAGGTGCATCTCCTTGTGCTGGGTGTTGCTTACAGTATAAACTGAATTACTGCTTTTTACATTTAGTAAAATATTCAGTAAAATATTCTTATTCAGCATGGTCCTTAAATTTGTCAGGCTGTCTGTGTGAGATGTTCAAAGATGGTATGAGAAATGTTGTGGTATCACATTCTAGTGATGTAAAAGGCAAAGCTTATTTCTTCATATTAAAGATAGCTTTGAATAATGGTCTTCTCATGCCTTTGGTCAGTACTCTTAAACTCAGAGCCCTTTCTCAGGTGAATTCTTGTTTCCAGTTTCCTCAAAGCTAGCGGATGCTTAATTTATTGATTAATTGAGCCTGATTAAGAAGTGCAGCATCAGATCTAGTGATACAGTTTTTAGGCTGTAGGCCTGGGTTCTGCATTCCATATCCCTTACATGCCTGTTGGATAGTGAGTGTGAAGGACTGGGAGATACAGCTACATGCATGCATGGCTTGTGAACAATGCCATCACTACAGACACAATTACTTTCTGTTTACACAGTTTACTATTTTGTAAACACTTTTCATTAGCAGTGTAATCAGAATGTGTTAAGTACCTCAATTCTCTGATGTTACCTGTGTGTAATACCTAGTGAAGTGCTGTTTAAAAAAATGAGAGGATGAGGGGACTTCTGGCTAGCAGCTACCTGGAACAGGTGTGGTTCTTTCAAAGACCTCAGCAAAGCACATTTTTTTGGAAAGTGGGGGGGTGTCACACGTTTACTATTGACACAAGTACCTTTAATGGGGACCATAAATTCAAATGTTTTTTTTTTTTAACCTCTTGGTTCTAGGGGAGGGAAGAATTTCCTAGTCCATTCTATTTAGTTGTGCATACTTCTTGCTCAGGCATAAGCAAAGCACAGAAGAAGCCAAGTTTGAGGCTTGTTTTCTGGTCTGTTTGGGAAATCAAAACTGGATGATTTCTAAAGCTGAAAGAAAATGTTTGTGTGTACAAAAAGCACCAATTGTATATGGGAAATAAAAAGCCCAAAGTGCATAGTAAAGTAATGCTAGGACATGGGTGTTTGGCAGTGTCTTTTGCCTATTCTTAGTTGCCTATGAACTGACCTTTCTGCAGCATCCTATGTAGGTTAGGAACAAAAATAGCCTCCTGACAGTTCTGCTGGAGTCCCCTCTAATTGCAGAATGTTGGTTTCTTTGTTTTTTCTCTGGTGTTTCAAGGTTGGCTTGTATTTATAGGCTGGTGCTGCTGTTTGTTCTCTGGGTTTTAGGTTCTCCTTTCTTCTGTCTCTTTTTAACTTCTTGCAGTGCTGTAATTGGGTTAGCTTAAGTGTAGAGGCACAGTATATTGTGAGGACACTTCCAGAACTGCTAAAAGACCGAGCATTCAAATGAATAGAAAGGTGTCCAACTCTGAAGACAGAGGTGTCTGAGATAAACTACTTCTATTTAATAAAAAAAGGTAGAGTGCCTCAAACAACAACCATCTGGGTAGCTGCTGTCAGAAGCACTACTTAAAAGGAATGAGGAACTGTCTTAAGGAGGGATTGCTGTATTGAAAAATAAACTGCTGAATCACTGGAAGCGAGTAAGGAGTCTTAGAGGCTCTGCAAAAATAAAATGGCTGCTGTAATTCAATTAAAATCACAGTAGGATTTGTTGTTTGAGATGGTGCATCCGTCATCCCGTATCTCCTGATGGCTGAAGCCTCGAGGGATGCTTAAGTGAGTGCAGTGCTCCTGAAAAATGCTGGAGTGACAGTTCTGGCCAACATGATCCTCTGTTTACGCAGACATCTGCATTTTCCTCAATGTACCTATTGAGTCTGGGCTGCTGCACGGGCTTTGTGCAGTTGGCATTTTGCAGTAGATTACTAATCTGAATCAAGTGTCAGTTTATCCTGCAAGCAGGAAGAGGAGCACCATGTAGTTTCTGGTGGATAAATAATCAATTGTTAACAAGATAATGTTGAAGATAGCTAGTTCAATGGCGTTTATTGTATTTATCTTACAGAGACTGCGGATGTAGGCTGGAGCTTTAAAATCAAAAGCAACTTTTTACTCCTTTCAGAATTTCCTCGAAGAAAGCAATCTAAGCTAGCAAACTCATGCTAGAATGCATGAATTTAAAAAGCAGAGAATAGTTCCTCAGAGGACCTGCACCAGTTTGTGTTGCTTGCAGATCAAGTCTATCTGTTTCCTTGGGGTTGAAGATTCATTTGCTATTCTTATTTTGATAAGTAAATTTCAGACCCTTCGCATCTTTATGCTCTCAACCAGGGCAAAAAGCAGTAGTGAGCTGCAAGACCTTTTTCAGAGGGAGAATTTCTTCAGCTCAAGTGGTTTGATCAGCTTCAAAATGAACATGAAAGAGCTTGCTCAGGTGTTCTCTGAATATAACCATGCAGAAGCCCTCTAAGGCAGCAAAGTTGAAAGGAGAACCTGTGTTTTGAATGAAGACAGCTGCTGTAATTACAAATATTAGAAGTCATTCCTGGGCTTTTAGTATAAGGGAGAGAGAGTTGGAAGCAGCCTGCTGGCAGTTATGTGAGCAGGTAAGCCCCAGATTCAATAGGACAGCTGTGGTGGTCCTTCCCCAACAGTCGTGCAGTGACAACACATCCATGCACAGTAAACATTCAGTGCATTGGTAGAAAGGATGCTCAGTCACTTCCAACTCAGTTTTCCATAAGTCTTGAGGTTGCGTTGAAAAAAAGGCTTGGGGTAAGTGGAGATCTCCTCGCAGGGCCTTAAGATGGGGACAAGTAGTATTGCATGCTCTGCTGGATGGATGGGCAGAGCAGCTTCGTTCTGGGTCTGTAATTCAGCATAGTTGTGCCTGTTCTTGGTTGCAAGGACTGAGAGAACAGAGCTGCAAGACATAGGTTTTATTTTAGATTTTGCACGAGTTGTTTCAACGTGTGGTTGTGGTGTTTGAGGGTCTGAGTGACGTGTCAGCTGAGTGCCCTCAGCTTACTTCATCAGTGACATCCATGTAGAAATCAGAGAAGGTCTGAAAGACCCTAAAAGGAGTTTTGTCCTTAAGTGAGAAGAAGACAGGTTTTAATTGAGTATTGGTTGTAGTCATGTTAAATTGCACAATTTACTCTTCTTTTTTAGTAAGTTAAAAAAAAAAAAAAACGTTTCTTGCTACAGGTGAAACAACAGGTATGACAATGAGTTTGACTGTTACTGAAATGGTTTCTTTGCTTTCAAATCTTTTGTTAACTGTTTGAAATGTCTTGAATGTGCCCTTAGCAAATTTCAGTTGCATCAATTAACATTTAGGAAATTCATATCAGTCTATTAGAATATTAAACATTTACTTTAGAAATGTAAATGAAGTGTACCAAGTTTGCATCTCACTTGCCCCTTGACCCATACATTCATTAGGCAAAAACTGCTTGAGACAGCAAATGGTTTTTTTGATACTGAAATGATAACATAAGTACTGACTGCAGTCGGCTTTAATACCGTACCAGTTTAAGTTCTCTGCTTAGATCCATGATGCTGGCCTGTTTGGAAAAGGAGAGATCTCTAACTAGAAATTAAAGTCAAGGCCAAGGCAGTGTTTGGATGAGATAACAGAAGTTCCTTTCAGTGCATCAGTGTGCTTTTCCTCTCTAAGTTTTGATTTCCAAAGGAAAAAAAAAAAAAAACAAAAAACAATGAACAAATGGGAAATGATGCTTCTAGAATGCCATAATTAAAATTCATTTTTGCTCTGTAGATTAAATTATTTGGTGTAGTGTTTATCAGAAACTAATTGTGACTTATTGTTATCCTTACAAAAAAATAGTAATAGAGATGATGTTACAGCATGACTTTGCTGCTGAAACATTTCCCTGATCTATCTTTGTGCTGGGCTTAAGTGTGTTTTTGCATCCTGTGCTCCAACAAAAGTGCTTTGGTAAATGGAGGTGTTGCTCTGAGTGATCAATCTGCCAACTGAAGGAATGAGAAATATTCCTTCGAGCAAGTTTTGAAGTCTATTTTGAATCCTCTTACTTTTATTCAAGAGTCACAGTTGAAGTTTTTATGTCTTTCTTGAGAAGAAAAACAAGATCTTCTTGTCTTCTTCAATTCATTGAACCCGTTTGTTGTATATATTGAATTTCCTCTTA